CTCTCTCTCTCTCTCTCTCTCTCTCTCTGTGTGTGTGTCTTTTGCTCGGCTTCCAGAAAAGGGTGTGTCGGCCTGCCTGCCGCTGAAAGGGAGGGAGGGGTCAGTTCACGGCTACTCCTCCCTGCTCTCTCTCTGTGTCTCTGTTATTTCTCTTTCGCTCTCATTCCCTCAGTGGCAGCCTCAGGATTAGGCCTTTGTCTCTCTTCCTTCTCTGTCTCCAAATTTCTATCTCTTTTTTTTTTTTTTTTTTTAAAAGAGAGTGTGTGTGTTTGTGTGTGTGTGTGTGTTTTATTTTACCCCCACACACCCCCCCCTCCCTCCACCCTTCTGGCAGATTTTTGAGAGGGGGGTTTTTCTTTAGCAGGCTTTTAGAGCAGAGGTAATGCTTCTTACCTCCAAACTCTACTGTGCCATTTCCTGTCTTGCTTCCTCTCCTACCTGCCTTCCTACCCGACTTCCTCCTCTCTCGTCCTCTTATCTTTTCACCTCTTTCTTTTTTTAAAAAAAAAAAAAAAAACATTTTCTTTCCTCTTCTTTTGCCCCCTCCCTTCTCATTGCGCCTTCAAATCCTTTAACAAATCCCTTCTTTCACCCTCTCCCCCTGGCCTGGAAGTTTTGGCTTTTTTTTTTTTTTTTATACCTTGCTCTCACCCTTTCCTCCCCCTTCTTCTACAGCTTTTCTCTGCATTTCACCCCACCCCCCCTTTTTTCCTCCTCACCTACCCCCCTTATCACCTCCTCCCCTCCCCTCCTCCACCCCCTGTCCTTCTACTTCTTCTACTCCAATTTGTCATCAATCCCTCAGTGCTCTACTCACCTTCTGTCTCTTCTTCTTCTTCTTCTTCTCTTCCTCAGTGCCAGTCAACTCCTAAGCAGAAGAAGAATGCTGGCGGCGCCCAGAAGAAGCAGAGGAGCCCGGCCAAGCAGAGCGCCCTGACCCGAAAACAGCAGCAGCAACAACAACAACAACAACAACAAGCGCCGCCATCATCATCACCTCTGCCACCTGCAGTCCAGGAAGAGGAGGAGAAGGAGGAGCCGGTGACCAGGCCTCAGCCGCCGCAGGAGGAGGAGGAGGAGGAATCAGGCGAGGAGGAGCGAGAGGAAGCGGCGACAAAGCCTGTGAAGAAGAAGAAGAAAGGAAAGGAGCAGCAGGAGGAGGAGAAGCAGGAGGGCGACACAGACATGCCGTCTGTACAGATCAAACCGGAGCCAGAGGAGATGGAGTGCACGGTGAGGAGGAGGTGGTGGTGGTGTTGGGGGGGGGGTTGAATGGAAGTAATTGGTTGATTGATTAGCAGGAATGGGGTGGAGGATCTGTGGGTGAGGAAGCGGAAGAGTTGATGGGCGGATGGAAGGATGATAGTCAGGTGGGTGTGGGCAGGTGTGGCATCGCTGACGATCAGGCGTGTCCGATCACGCCGAGCTCACGCAGGATTAGATTCAGACAGACGCCGGAGGAAGATTTTATCCGGGGGTTTGAAACTCATCATGACGTCAGCAGGTTTTACGAATGAGTCAGCGATTAACTGAGAATCAATTTGTCAAATATTAATATGAATCTTTCCTAGAGTTTCAACTTTAGGGCGTCCAGATTTGATCTTGTATCTTTACATCCAAGAGTGAACAGCAAACACAGAGGCCGTATGTAGCGTAGAGCCATGGCCTCTATAAGGCTACATCCACACTAATACGTTCTACTTTTAAAACGCATCACTTTTGCTTTGTCCATATGACTGGACGGAGTTTTTGAGCCTCTAAGATGGAAACTTTTGCAAACGCTGCTGAGTTTGGATACGCCGCGGTTGCGTTTTAGTCTGGACGGACGGAAACTAAGACTACTGGAAACGATGATGCAGACACACTCGTGTTCGCTTCCTGATTGGATCTTATCAGTCACAATCCTTCCCTGATTCACGTGACCCCTTCCCGAGCGAAAACCAACGGCGTCAGCCTCGACTACGGGCGCTGACTTCAACATGGGTAACAATTAACAAAAGTTTTTGACCTCTTTGTCTTTGCTACAGCTGCCGACATTCACTTTTCACCGTTCCTGTTTATCCCTCTACTGCAGAGTGGGCAATCCACTTCCTGTTTACACCTGCACACGCATGCCTAGTGTGCGTGAACGGTCATTTTTTGGACGGTTTTAAAATGAAATGCTGTTACTGTGGGTGTAGCCCAACACGTAATCATATACTCCACTGTAGATGAGCCAGAGATCATCATCACTAGATTTCAAAGAGGCATTCTGGTTTTGGGTCCATTTTCTGTAATAGCAACAGGAGCAGTCACATGATCAGACGACCTCAGGTCAGCCGGACTCATTTGGAAGAGAAAACAAAGGCCAGTTGTAAATTTATTACCCAAACTGTCTATTTTAAATATCCAACACAGTTTACTGACGCCTTCCTGCTTCAGCTTCGACCGAACACACTTGCTGTAGTTGTGCAAACACAGTTTTCCTGTGTATGGAGGGATTATAACCCACATTTCAGCTGCGCTCGGGGGCTTGTTTACGACCTGTCTAGTCTGCTCGTCTCTTGTGTCACCATGGACAGAAAAGATGGACAAAACTACAAAAACAAACATCTAGAATAAACATTGTCATAGGATTATAAATGAACAGTTTCACCAATTATACCCGATGCACTGAGCTTGGATGAACCCATGTTAGAGGTTGGTGTGGATGGGTTAAGACGCTTTATCCGAGTGGCCGTTTAGACCGAACGCAGCCCTGCATTAAAAGAAATGTGCTGTGGGGGCGTGTTGTTTCAGGCGCTGCTGAGATGATGAAACACAATCCAGGAAAGTAACAGATCCGTGAGTTAGAGTCTCATCAGATGCCAAAACTCTGCACAACAGTTCATAAACTTATGAGGAAGGATTTCACTGCTCTGAAAGGTTACCACAGCGTGCCACGGTCGCCAGGTAAACAGTAGAAATATGGTGTTCACATGTCAGCACTGGATATTTGAAATGACAAAGGCTGATGTCGAGTTTCGTTTGGGGAAAAAGTCGACTTGGGTTCACCTTTTTCTTTTGCCAAGCCACCCCGTGTTTGTTTTACCAGATCCATGCAGTGCTGTTGTCAGTGTAAACGTAACTTAAGTCCTGACACCGTCTGGCTTTATGCAGCTTTTTGGATTCATAATATAAGTGTCTTGTGTCTTGTGTCTATAATAACTCAGTTTTATTGACAGTGGGCGGGAATTTATGTTTTTCTTTCACTGTTTGCATGAACACAGGATTTACCGTACAGATACTGCACACTGTTTTAGGATTGGCTCGCAGCGCAGCGTAAATTCTTCAGGAAACAATCACCTCGATTTAAATCTCTTCACATCTACCATTATCTTCAATATTCAGTGCAAACATGTCGGTGACTACTTGTCAACATTTCCTCTGAGCTTACACGTTTGTACAAGGTTAGTGTTGTAGTTCTGCGGTTTAGTGGCAGTGTGTGTTCAGTGTGAAGGACACCTCTTAGGTATTTACCTGGTCAACTGTGAGTTTCGGCTTTCCTGTCTCATATCTCATACATTGGAATTTGTGTGTGAACCTGGTGTTATTTTCACATTTTTTGTCAACCCCCCCCGAGATTCAGATCACCAAACACTCAAATGTACTCAGCTACATTTCAGTTTAATCAGTTGTTTCACACCGTATCTGTTCAGTAAATTTAATTGGTTTTTGAAAACCCTGCTGACACACGGACAAAGAAATTCTTCAAAACCGTATTAAAAAACACACGATTAGCTGCGGCATTTTGACTGTGAATAGAGTCGAGTACAGCGTGCACTAAGAATTTTAGCTGCATATTGAGATGTGAAACCGTGCCTCTGGCTGTTAGTTTGTGAAATTGGATCCTACCTGTGACTAATATCAACTCTAAACTGTTTGTTAACAGCTTTGCTTGACCTTTACCTGCGTCCTACGTTCATGTTTTGAGGATGTCTTCCTCAGGCCAGTGCCCTCTAATGCGAGTGTTCTGAGATAATTCATCACAGCGACACAGATGCATCCGTCTTTAGTCATCGCTCCACTTTATCATTCAGAATTAGCCGCGATTTGATTTCAGAGAGATGCAAGAAGTTTCCTATGAACAGAGGACGGAGAGGACTGGTGGAAAGGGAAGGGCAGAGTGAAATGGAGAGATCGTGGGTAGTGGATTGGTGGGTGGAGCGCAGAATGAAGGATGAGTCGATGATGGATGTAGATCTGAGGATAGGTGGAGGGAGTGCGAGAGTGAAGTTGATGGAGGAGTGATGGATAGAGGAAATATGCATGTAGAGGTGGGTGAGGGTGAAGCAGGTGGATGGATTGGGCGTTGGTGAGGTGGAGGAGGAGTTTGGAGATGTGATGGAGGTTTCAGACACCTGTCGATGCAGGTGAAGCTGTTTCTAGTGTTGAGTACCGCAGCAGATTCTAACCACCCAAACTCCTTCTTCTTCTTCTACTTCTGCTTCTTCTTTTTCTACTGTTTATTCCAAACAAACCAGAATCATAACACCTAGCATTTCCTGTGCGGCTCAGCTTTTCTTTCCCAGGAAGGAAGAACTTCCTTGCATTGAGTTTGCAGATGAGAGAGACAAAGATTTCAGTCAGTTCTTTTTTCTAGTAACTAATCCATGGTTTAGTTTATAAAATGCCAGAGAATTTGAAAAAAATAGTTCCCAGTTTCCCAGACTTTTTAGAGGCGATTTACTCCAGCGCACAGTCAAAATCCTAAAAAAGCTTCCAGTTTACAAAGAGAGGAATTCTCAGATTTGACAACCAGAGAATGTTTGGCATTTTATCGATTCGATTCTGATTTCCATGTAAGCACAACGCTAACATGACGGCTGATTCTATAGGATGTAAACAGCAGGTTCAGCAGTTCCCAGACCAGTTGGAAATCTCTGGACATTAAAAGTGAATGAGACCTTACTGCTGGAAGGCCTTTAAGCAAAGCTTTTAACCTCCCAGGGACTCCAGCAGCGGTGAATGAATTATTTGAACAGTGTGAATGTGAAGTTAAAAAAAAAAAGAAAAGAAAAAAGACTTGTGACCTCTGGCTGGCTTCCTTGGATATATAAAGACGACAGGATATATTAAGATCATGATGAGTCTTTGCTCTGTCAACATGATGTCAGGAAAATGAGGGAGCAGGAGGAGCAGTCTGGTCCTGATGTGTGGACGGATAAAAAGCTGCAGAAAGTCATTAAACACACTTCATGCACAAACACTTATTTGCTCTCACATGTCGTGGAGTGTGTTGACATTTGCGGTTTTTGCATTTGAAGCATCAAAGTTGACCTTTTGTTTGTTTTTTATCCCGATTGACTTTCAGCGAGCGTATCAGTAGAATAGGATCCGTGAAACAAATAGTCAGGAGGTCAGAGGTCACGGCAGCGCCAAAGCGCCCTGACAAGAGGCTGTGTGAATCATTTTGAGGAGAAAGACCAAACGTCCTTCTCGGGTCACCCTGCACGCCGCTTGAACTCCTCTGCGTTTTTTTATCTCTCAGGATCAAACTATTTCAGTCCGACTGTTTTGCTAATAAATAAAGCTAATCTGGAGCGTCGAGCTGCACAGTGATTTACACAGAACCTGGGAGTTTCTCTAAAGCAAGGGGAGTGCCTGTCCGCTTTTTATTTTTATGTCTGACTTTTTATTTTCTCAGATAAACAGTAAATGTCTCGGAGGGTTTGAGCAGCACAAATCAACCCGATCATTTCCCCAGAGGAATAATTCAATATTTAGATTGTTTTTAGACTATAACAAATCCATCATATCCAATCAAAATGTGTTCTCACACTGTTTGATTGCTGGTATTGTTTGATGAAGGTAGTTAATGAATGAATCTGTGCAATGACATTATTGGGAATAGACGCTTCGTAGCAAAAGTCCCCATTCCTAAATAGACACTGTTGGCCACGTGCACCTCACCTACATATTGTATATATCCGTCGTGTCTTTGTTGGTTTCTGCTTGTGATGTTCATCAGTAAAATCAGTTTGTGTGTTTTTTTTTTTTTATTACATTAAATTACATTAATCTCATTCATTTTTATATGTCCAAAGAAATCTACAAGAAGTGAATTCAAGCATTTATAGCTGATATAGTTGCTGCTATAGTTGGGACTCAATCCTTGTTTGACTTCTGTAGCAGTGTTTTTGATCAATTTGAATTACATAAATGGTATACATTTTTGACTGTAGTTCACTTAATTTCTCTTCTCTGATTGTCCT